AATACATTTCATTGAAGCGCAATAACTCAAAACTAGATATAAAAATGTGTATAAAACACTATATATTTTAGGTGTATCACCCATCTACCAAATTGCCCCACTAGCAAACTAACAAACTACCTAAACTACCAAAGTAGGTGGAACAACCCAGCTAGAAAACTGGTCAAATTATCTAGCCGATGAACTAGTCAAACTATCTTAACTGACAAATTGGTTGAACTACTGAACTGTTAAACTGCCTAATTGTCGAATTGTTAAACTGGCAAACTACCAAGTTCAACTACATGATAAAACATGACATAAAATTGTATAACATTATATAAAGCTACAACAAATGATATAAAATTATTGAATATGATTTAAAATTGTTAGGCATGATCTAAAACTGTTGGAAATGACACAAATTTGTTGGATATTACTTAATATTATGTATCTTAATGAAATTTTCTATATCATGATAAAATGACACATCATAGCTTATAAATAAGGGTCAAATGTACAAATAAAAAGATAGGTGACAGAGCTCTCTCTTCCCTTGATCTACATCTCCCCTCTTTTTTTCTTCATATTCTGCTCAATGCTAGTAGGATTTTGACATGACCCACGGATATTATGAAACCCTACATCCTAAAAAGATGAGATACATATTTAATTTAGATTAGTCTTTGTAAAACAACTATATTTTAGATGATAAACAACAATACATGTCATGGTCTTAATTGATTATATACAAGCATTATAAATAATAAATATTTAATATTTTTTTCATAGAATATATGCATATAAGTACAACAAAATTATTTCCTTATGTACGCACAAAGTAGGTGTTAGGCAGCTTAAATTGGATGTTAATGTATGAAGATTAGAGAGACGGTCTGAGGATCCCGGCTCTTGTAATGGTAATCCCATGGATGGTTTGTGCGGACTTGTGACTTGTTCTCAATTTCTTTTTGAATCAAACATAAAAAAATCTCAAAGGAACCAAGATGATGTGATAAACTCTTGTTAATATCACCCTACAATAATAAATAATAAGATTTACATACATACCACTCAATTCTTATGTATTTATATATCTAACACATCAACTTCAATTTTTACATGTGTTAACCAATAAAAGATGTATTTTACTTTTAAATAGCTAAAATAGTTAATTTTTTTATATGTGATGTAATATATATATATATATTAAATATGTAAATGCATGAAGTGCATATTAGCTAAATTAAAAATAAATTTAAAATAAATTAAAACTATTTTTTAAAAAATAAAATATATGTTCTTAACAATAAAATAAATAATTAATTAAAAATTATTTTATTTAGTATTTACCTAAATAAATTTTCCTAACATTTTTATTATTAATAAAAAATAAATTTTATAGTTAAATTTTTTGGGATACAAACTATATGTGATAATATTCACAATAATGATTAAATTATAAAAATAAAGTTTAAAATGACCAGAAAAAAAAATAACTTTACAAATATCCCACATACGTGCACAGATATTTTTTTTTTATGACAAATTATTTTTAATTTTTTCTGCAAATAAAAATATTTACAAGAAATAAGAGAAAGGGCCTTTGCTGTCACCAACATATAATTCCATATTATAAACGACACATGTGAGGCGTTATTACGTACATTCACGGGTAATATATATATATATAAGCGTATATATATATATATATATCCTAATTTTTAATTCTTTTATGACTTATTCATAATGATAAGAATATTATCATTTTAAAATTGAATAATAATTTCTACATAAAAATAAGTGGTGAACATTCTTACAAAAAAATATAGGTAGAGAAAAAACATGAGATTTTAACAACGAACATTATGAGTATGGCAACTTGAGCGTTGATTAATGACAAATGTTAGAGGTTGATCGAAATTAAGTGATTTGACTCGGTTCTTTTAGAAGAAAAACTAACACAAACAAAAAAATAATTGTCCGGCATCGATGTCTAAAGAATGTAAAATGTGACTCTTTTTTGTTGATAATGCCTAATGAAAGAAGCTTGAAAATCATTTTTTGTTTAGCATTGAGAATGAATTAACAGGACACGATGTATGACAATTGATGAGAAATAGTAGAGAATATGCAATACTGAGTAATTAACTTGATCTTTTTTATTACAAGAGAGAAAATTGAATAATCTATAAGATGCGTGTCAGAAGATGAATAGGAAATATTGAACGTCAATCATTAGTGTCCATTGAAGGATGAATCACACGGATGTTAGAAGTTCAAAAATTTTTGGCTGGTTTGATTAGAACCGATAGGTGATATTGAGAGGACAACTCAGGGTGTGTTTGAAGCAATTTGTGCTTATCTTGAAACGCGGTCCGCTGGTGGCCAGCGGGATTTGACTCACGGTCTACGTTTAGTTTAAAAACCCAATCGCGTTTTCAGATAAGTTGTTGAAATGTGTTTTTCAAACGGTGATGCGGCATTTTAAAAGCGCGCACGCACTTATAAGTTGTCCCAAACGGGCCCTCAATTATTTACTTTATAATGGTAGGACTAGGCAATCTAGAATGTCTACATTAAATGCCCGTAACAAGGGAACATTAAATCCCATAATTAGTATGTAGTAAGAAACTTTCAATGAGGAATGACAAAGGTTGATGTTGAGTGATAGAAGTAAACGTTTTTCTATAAGGTAGAGAGATTAATAAATATGAAGTTGAGAAGCAAATATCAAAGTTTTCCAATTGTTATTAAGCATCGTGTAAAAATTGATGATGAAAGATTAATGCCAATAGATGACAAGGAATCTGCTCAGTTAATATCCCTATTGGAGGGGTGATCATGAAATAAGAAAGATTGGAGAACATGCAATGAAAGACAATTGAAAATAAATATTAGAAGTTAAGCCTTATTGGTTAGCTAGTTTGATTGTGCTTCTAATGTAAGGTAAATTAGGCAATTGTAAAGATGGGAATAAAGAGAGAGCAAGCAACAAGAAAGACAGGCATAAGAGGGTGGAAAATAAATATTAGACATTGGTCCTTAGTATGCATAAGCTGACAGTTGGCGAGAAATAATAGATGTTGCACAATTTTAGTTAGTCTAATTCCATACTTCTTCTTATATAAAGTTAAACTACATCATAAAAAAAGGTAACTGTCAAATATTTATAATTAGTCAACTTCAGGTGGTGGAGGCCATCAATGTACATCGGTTGAAAGTGGCCATTGGTGTTGTTTAATTGCGAATGATTGGAAATGTTGATGATGGACATTGATCTTAATCGATAACCCACATCAAATTTTAATAAGCTTAGAAAGGGAAATCTAACAATAATGATGATGGGCATTAGATGGTGACTAATAACAGACATTGTTCCTTAGTATGCATAAACTTATTATTGAAGAGAAACAAAACAAATCTATGATTCTCCATATATAAAGCTAGACTAAGATAGAAATAAAGAGGGGAATGCAAACAAGAAGGAAGAGGGACATAAGATGGTAACTAGTAAATATTAGACATTTGTCCTTAATACACATAAATTAATTGTTGATGAGAAACAACGGAGGTTATGAAATTTCAGTTGATACAACTATATGCTTCTTGTTATATAAAGTTAAAATTTATGATAAAAAAGTCGTGGGTCAAATATTAATAGCCGGCCAACTTGGGTAGCGGATGGTCTTAATAGGGGAATTGGTGTTTATCAATTGCTAATGAAGGTTAACTGATAAAGTTGTGTTAATGTGGAAGTATATTTCTGGATATCCTTTTTAGTTTGAAAGTTCTCTCGACGAGCCATGGATCTCTTTGAATGTGTAAAATCAAGATCTATCTATATATTTTTGGATAAACATTTCAAACATTTTCTTCAAAATTAGTAGTAATTCGTCAACAAAGTTTGTCATTTCACAAATCTTAAGGTGATTGGAATGAATCACCAAGCATTTCTTTTAGCAAAAAAGGTTCCAGAAATCATTTTCTAATAAATTTATAATCAAACTGGCTCGAGGAACAAAAACAATGACAATAAATTGATTCGACTGGAGTCAGATCAAGTCATTTGTTTAGTTTGTGAATCTTTTCGTGCATAATTGAAAGTTAAAAATAGAATCAAAATCTGGCAAGCTTGAAGTCAATCGAGCGTCTTAGTGAGATGAGTCAAAGGAACTGAAAATCATTCAATTCTGACATCATTAAGACACTCAAATTCATATATGTAAATATATAGAATTGGGTAGTATGCATGTAAATGACCCCGTCTAGGCACATTTGACATTATGCTTGGACTAATTATGCCGTTGCATCTGTCCAGTTCTCAAATAGGCGGGCGGCGGGCGTGTAATCCCTTGCTTGACGAAAGGAACATACGCTGGTGGACTTGCGAGCTTCCTTTAGTCATTCTGATTCGAGGCAAGGAGACGAACGCTAGGGTTTTTGATCGAATAGAACAGAGAACAATGCGAAGCAACGAAACCGATAACAGAACTTATTTAGAGCCAGTGAAGCCAATAAGACCTTCAATTTGCTTCTAATTACCGTGGCCGTCAGTAAAAGAAAGCTGTATTAGAAGATGAGTATTTGCAGTCCCAGCATTGCTTTCTCCACTTCACAACACGAATATTAAAGCACAAAATTCAATCCCATTTCTTCTCGAAGTATCAAAATATCATTATCATTTGTTCTTACAACCTCCATTGTTCAGTTGGATTGTTAAATTTAAAACAAAAACTTGTACGTATAAATAAATCCACTATATAACCACATAAATCATTTTATGTAGTTTTATTCTTTAACGAATAGAACAAAAAAAAAAAAAAGGGAAACTTTTCTCTGGGTAAACGAATAAAGACGCAGTTAGAGGAAACGATATTACGTCTGGAGTCCGTTTATACGGAGAGCGGCTCCGATAAGCCTAAAAATGATTTTTTTTTTTTTTTAAATGGAGTCCTCCAGGAGTTATATTTTTTCCAGTCAGAAACAAAAAGAGACAAGAAATAGAAGATTGGTTTCTCTCATGCCATTAAAGAAGCAAGACTCTGTTCATTGGTTGAACCCAAATATCCAGTGCCGACGCCAACGCCACCGCCGCTAGACGAGACAGATACAAGCGCCGGCAGTGACGACAGACAGTCGAGCTGCCGGAGAAACAGCAACTGGCGAATCTCGAAGAGGCGGCGGCTGAGTGCCGCTGCTTCAGCTTTGAAAAGCTTGTTCTCATGGCTGATGACGGTGCAACGACAAGAGATTGCGGCAATCCTCTCTGCCACCGCACTGTTCTCTAGCCTCAGCCGCCCGACGCGGCTCCGGAGATCTTCGAGGTGCCGCTGCTTCCGCATGCGAGACCGTCGTGCTGATTCCCGGTTCGATATCATTCGTCGGAGGCGGCGGTCGTCGGCGGAGGATTTCATGGTGAAGTTGATATTGGCGGTGGAGCAGTCCATGAGAATATTGGAGGGGGAGGGGAGGGTAAGGAAGGGGTTTTATATATAATATGGCTTTTAGGAGTTTAGGTTTGTGAATTCTCTTATTATTTTATTTATAATATGATATAGTTTCAAAAATAGGCAAGGAAAAAATCTCTCTTTGTTTTTAAATTTGAATTATTTTGATATAATTTCTGTTTTGTTTAGATATTTAGATATTTTAAGTATAGGGCATTTACATACATGCTATCCAATTTTTATATATTTATATATTTAACACCCAAACTTTATTTGTTATATTTATACCAAATAAATTTTTTATATCAAGTAAAAGTTTTGACTAGTTTAACTTTTAGAAGGTGAAATACATATTTTTTTATGCATGGGCAAGATGACATACAAGTAAAAAATTTAAATTTAGGTGATAAATATGCAAATACATTTTTACATATTTGAATGGTATGCTTGTAAATCTTCATTCAAGTTGTTGACTTTGCATAGTTACTATTTCAAATTTCTTTTAATTAATTTTTTTCATAATGATGTATTTTATGTTATCTTAATATGATGACTATCATATGATTATTTGATTATTTTTGTCATTAGGAATTTTAGTTTTCTTCATAAATGAAAAAAAAAAATGTGTTGACATGTGTTGACATAAAAAAAGAGTAACATAAAAAAAGAGTAAGATTTCATACATACCACAAAGTTTTTATGTATTTATGTGTCTTAACATTTAAATTTTAATATTTACATATACTTTATTTTACTTATGATTGAAAAGATGTATTTTATTTTCTTAAAACTTAAATTCGTCGCATTTTTTAGGTGATATGAAAATTTCGGAGCAATGAATATAAAAATAAAATTTAAATATTAGAGATGTAAATGCATCGGTGTTGGCGGGATGTAAAAACTACACTTATCGTAAAAAATAAAAACTCCAACCGTGACTTTTTCTTATAGCGGCGGCCACAAAATTATAAGCGCTAGCGGGAGAAAAGAAGAGGAGAAAAATTATTTACGAAAACTCGCAGAATATTATTTGTATGTCAGTAGCGAAGGAAACAATATACTGTCGAGGAGGGAATATAGTGGTGATGGAGCGGGCCCGTAGTGCTACCCCGCCGGCCGAAGTACGTTTGGTTAAGACATTGGGTTAACTATAATAACTAAATTATATATAAATTAGTTGGAATTATATTAAATTTTATTAAAATAAATTCCTGTTGAACCCTGAAGCTTAAGACATGAGGGAGAGAAAAGGGGAGGGCGCATTAAATAAACAGTAAAATGTCTCATCTACTTTTTTAAATGATCCCTTATTTTTAATAAAAGATGTACATTATACCAAGTTATATGTTTTGCCCTATTTTAATGAGAGGATTATTTTATTTTAGGTATTTTATATGTATGAGCCGATGACTCAGCTACCCTCTAACTCAATCGACTAAGCTCGGTGGTTCTTGGTTTGGTAAGACCTTCTCATTAGACTATGTTGAGTTAAGGTTGTTGGTCGACTTCAATTGACTTCAAATTGACAAGATTGACTCAATTGAATTGACTTCATTGATCGGTTGATTTAGTCAGACTATCGACTGTCAAGCCCTCCTATGGAGCTCCTGTTTGCTCAACAATATTAGGTTATTTGGTAGATTGTGAATCCTTGTAACCCGATAGATAGCTCTCTCGATCCCCAACAAAGAAAGCTAGATAGATGATTTAGATTTTTTGGGACATGATTTCCTCTTGATCCCTAATAGCAAGCCTCTGGGGACTTTGTAGGATGATTGATATTATGAAATAGCTGAGGCTTTCCTCGAGTTTGGGCTTGAACCATTACGATGTCTTTTGTCTTGCGAGCCCTGGCTTGGATGACTTCATCCAAACAACTTTCGCTTGAACTATTACATTCAGTTATACAACTGGGCCTTCTAGTTTTTTGTTGGTGGGCCTTCCTAAGTTCACTTTTATGTCTCCTGGCTGGTGGTAGTCGACTGCAACCAACGAGCGAGAGTAAAGATGATCAGCAGTTAAGATAGAACAAAATGTTTATAAGGTTTTTGTTCTTGAACACCACTTGAATTTGACTCCTTCTCTGGGCTTAGATCTAGCTCCATATCTCCCTCATCGATTCCTCTTTCAAATAGGGGGTATGACACTCAATACGCCATCAACAATTTCTTTCATCAAACACGAACCTCGAGGCATAACACAAATCCCGTGATAATATTTTGAGCAAGAAACATTCAAAGCTTTGATAAAAAGTCAATCAAAACTTCAATTTAAGCAAACTTACAGTCAAACTTACTGGCTCGACAAGACGAATCCAGTTAGCCTAAGATCGTTCAATTATGATATCGTTAATGAACTCAAATGTCCATCAAGAGTTGTCTGATCGAGGGGAAGGGTGAGCTTGAAGCCTTAAGAAGAGCTTGAAGCTTAAAGGAGTTGAAATCTAGCATCACCTCGTCGTCGACTGCCACCAACAATTTCCAGCCACCGCCGACCAGCAGTCATCAACCATCTTTCGCTTGTTGTTGTCAATCACCATCAGCAGCCTGTTATTTCTTACTGTAAGTCCATCCGCTCTTCAACGTTGTAACTCATGAGACTTTGTAATCATTTCTCTGCTTGTGGGACAATGTGTCTCTGTAATCATCAACTTATAGTAATTTTTTTATAGCTGGGAAGCCCTGTGTTTTTTCCCTTTCTGAGTTTTCCAAGTAAAAACTTATGGTGTTTTTACTAGTTATTTGTTCATATCGAGTATGTGTTGAATTTTCGTGCAACGCTAAGATGATAAACTATTACTCTACAGTTGCAAATCTTCCAGGACACGTCAATTCTATTTATAGAGTCTAAGAGTGGCCTCACTACAAATAGGAAGTAATTTCATATCACTCAATCGAATGACACATGAGAGAGATTTCCATGATCGGTTGTCGAATTGTGAATATTTTAGTGTCTTAATGATGTCAAAATTACAGGATTTTGGGCTCTGGAATGCGTCTCATCGAGACACTCGATTTGACTATATGAGTGTTTGATTTAGAATTCATTGACATGTCAATTAGCCGCCGAAACTCCTAAAAATAGTTTATTGGCTTGATTTGACTTGGACTAGGCGAATTTTGGTATCATTGATTCGATCTTGTTGAGCGATCAGTTTGATTGTAATATTGTTGAAATCAAGGTTCTTGATAATTTATAATTAGAATTTGAACTTTTATTGTTCAAAAATTACCGTGAGATTTGTGTAAAAAGATGAACATTTATTGATCAAACATTATGATCAATTATCTTATTTCTAATTAATATGTAATGCATTCGAGCATGATTTAAAAGATTTAAAACTAATTCTTTTAAAAAAAATAATAAGTGGGAATGATAATATATACAATTCAAACTCAAGACTTCACATAAGAAATTAAACCCTCAATCATGTATGATGGAAAAGTGCACGCTAATATTTCACGCATTTAAAATAACCCCCATTAATGCTGATTTTCGAATCCCATTGCTTGATCTCCATTCCCAACAGCCCAACATTACTTTCATTCAAATTTCAACGATTAAAAGGTATCATAACACATTTTTTGGTTTCCATCGATTTAGTTATCTTTAAGGTGGTGTTTGGCTACACCATCAACTTATATCTGCAACTCGAATTTAATGAACCTGGGTTTACGTCGAGAAGAAGATGGGACTCGGGAAAATAGGCAAGATACCAAAAACAGGCAGAATGTGGAGAAATTCAAGCATTAAGATCCGACTTGCAGACGTATCACATATTTTTTATACACTCAAAAATTAATATTTATATTTAAAATACATTGGTGATATAAATCCTTCCGAAAGATGATGCGGCAATATTTTTGATGTGATTTTAAAAATTTAATTGGCATTGTTGTAAATAAAAACGAATTGTGTGGCATGTTAGAAAACGCCCTTAAAATTAACACTTTAAGCATTTAATATTTTAAAAATACAAATATCTTTTTGCCACATTATTTAATCGAGCTAAAAAAAATTATTTGACTGAAACTATGTGATTGATGGATTTTTGGAATACTGTCGGCAGATTAGCCGTTGGGGACCGTGAACCGCCGGCTTCGAGATCCGATTAAATATGTAACAATTCGAAATGAATATGGTGATGTGTCCACAGTTGGCAGCTGCTCGGTGCTTTCGTTACACCCTAAGGGCATATTTATCATTTCTATTTTTAAACTTATTTTAAAGAAATTCTCACGCTCACATTCTTAATTTTATTATTGTCCAGTTTTAATGTTAATTTTATAGTTATAAATAAAATTATATCGGATTTAGAATATTATACAAAATATTTAAAAGTGAAACATCTTATATTAAATTTTATTTATTTATTGATAAAAATTATGTGATGCGTGCTAGAAAATTCGCAGCGGTAGAGTAATGGACTACCGTATCAGTGTTGTACGAAAATTCAACACACACACACAGATGAAAGATAATCAAGTAGTGATGATTCCAAAAGTTTTATATGAAAAACCCATAAAGGGAAAAACTATGAGGTCTGACTCAATTGCTGAAATTTACTATTGATTGATGATTACAAAAATCTCTTATCCCACAAATGGAAAATTGTAACTATATTTTTCAGATTACAATGTTGACTCACGGCTCCTGGTTGGAGGTGATTGATGATGGTTGGCGGAGGTCGTTGGAGGTCGGCGATGGTCGTCGGTAGGCGGCAGTCGGCGTTGGTCAACACGGAAGTCGACGGTAGTCGAGGATGATCGAAGGTGATGCTGAGCTGCAGCTTCTTCTCAAGGCTTCAACATCCCCTCATCTGAGAGGTGGGGGTCTATTTATAGTGTTATGGGTACAATTAATGCGGGAATATCAACTATTTTGATCGGACGATCCAGAGAGTTTCCTTCGATCACGAGACATTTAATGGACATTTGAGTGTCTTGACGATGTTGGAATTGAGTGATATTGAGCTCGTTGGATTTATCATATTCAGACGT